CACACACACACACACACACACACACACACACACACACACACACACACACACACACACAGACACACACACACTGCACGCTAACTACAGCTATGGCGGCTATGGCCGCTGCTACCCTATCGCTATGGATAAGCTCCTTCTCTCTTCCCCACTTCGTCCTCGGGTTCACTGCAGACCACCTCGCACAAGTCGATGTGGCAGCGCTTCCGCATGGCTCACGCTGGAATGAATGAAGGACTGGACGCTGCCCTTTGATTTATGCTTCTGTAGCTTGTTGGTCTGGCCCTTTCCCTTGCCCGTGGTGCACACAGTCCCATGCGGTGCTTGCGTGACTGGACTAGGACTGACTGGGACCGGTACTGCTGACTGCATGTGTTTGCACTGCCAACTCGATGCAGTCACACTGCCGACGTACTGCAGTTGGGCTCACCACTTGCCCACTTGCCCACTTGCCTCAGCCAAAACGTGAGCAACTTCGAAAGGCCACTACTAGGACCTTCCGGAAGTCTGGGTCCTGGCCTTTCGAAGACTGTAGCAGCTACGACCTTGACCCTTCAGGACTGTAGCAGCTACGACCTTGACCCTTCAGGACTGTAGCAGCCACGACCTTGACCGTTCAGAAGCTCTACAGCTACGACTTCTAGAACCCCCTAAGACTTCTACTCAACAGATCTACAGATCGAACCCCGGCTACCTACAGACCCTACGACAGTCTACCAACTGTTACAAATACACAGGTCACGGGTTCAACTCTCGGGGTCGACACAAATACTGTACACAGGTAAGGTGATGACTAGGGATCAAGCCCTGGGATCTGCACTCGCTACTGCTAACAGTTGAAAACCGTTTCACAGGCCTTCATGTGCTTAGAATTTGTTGCATGAGACGAAGTTTTATGCAATTTCCAAAACGTTTTCAAATCGTGTTGGCTTGCATCTTGTGTGTGCAGCTTTGTGCGATGAAATGTGAACTTGTGATGTTGTGAGAAGCAATATGAATTCGTGACATCTTTTTTCAATCGTGAAGATTATTAAAAACTTGAGTAACGAGAAGGCAGAAGTCAAATTTCTTGATTTCACTTTTAATTTTTCGTTGAGAAATCAGTAGGATCAAATGTTGGATAACAAAAAGATCTATTGTGTGCTTTACCAGCTTGCTCAGTTGGTTGCAGCTGGTATGTGTGTATTTGCGTGTGCCCTTTTTTTGTTATTCTTAGCTTATGTTTGGATGAATTCTTGGTACTCTTGGACTCATTCACTTGCAGGATTTTGGTGTTGTTGATTGTACAGACCTTTTCCAGCGCCTGTTTCGCCAAGATTTACTGGTGGCTAGCTTGTTTCGTAACTTTTTATTGGCTGAGAGGATTATGCGGTCACTGAACTGCACCCCTCGTTCACATCCAAAGCTTCCCCAAACACATGAACATCACATGTGGTATGTGTGTGCTTTTCTGTGGGTGGGATGCCTAAACCTCCTCTCGTTTCTCGAGGTGTTTCATTTTCATATTTGTTTGTAATTTTGTATCTTAACATTTTGATTAAATCTAGGTTAGTAGTCTTGATGTTTGGCAGGATGTGTCTGTTGCAGATTGGATCAGCCTGATTTCCAGAAGGATGTTCAAAATCAGGTCTTCTCCACACTATTATAATTGCTAACGTAAGTAATCTAAAATCTGGGCTGTCCTGGACCCGGGCCGTCAGGTCGTACTGGACATGCGGACTGGATTGTCAGGTTGACGTAACAAATTTTGGATCTGGGCTGTCCGGTGCTACAATAGCAACGGTATAGATCCTTGCATTATCTTACAATTTTAAGATCGCACGTCGATCTCGTCCATAGGCGTAGTACCTCAGGCCAAACAGTGAGATTAGAGACCCTCTGCTACATCGGCCCTGTACCGTGGAGGGGAAGGTGCCCTGCCAAAGCCACCATTAGACAACAGTCTGCATAAACTGCCATGCCTTTCCCGTCAGGCCGCCTTGCCCCAACTGGGCTAACACTGGTGCAACTGCCTCGCTGCCCACACACATTCTTCTGCCGGTGTGCGTGCTATTCATTGTAATCAACAATCTGAAACCATATATTTAACTAAGTGCACTCACATGTGTGTGTGTGTGTGTGTGTGTGTGTGTGTGTGTGTGTGTGTGTGTGTGTGTGTGTGTGTGTGTGTGTTGTGAATGTTCACCACAACATCCCCTGTTCCACCCAGATGAGTAGATCTAAAATCGAAGCAACTTTACCTCTATTGTAGAAGATGAAGCTTGTTTGAGATGAATCAATCCAGCAAGGAAACAGTGTTGCCTCCATAGTTAGCAACATGAGGCACAATAGAAACATTACCTTTATGCACGCAATGCCTACATGAGTAGATCCAACATGAGGCACAATAGAAACATTACCTTTATAAATGCAAAGCGTACATGAGCAAGAGCGATATACAGAGAACCAAGTTGCGAAATCACCACAGATGTCCAAGTAGTCATGTACAACCAGAGAGTGCAAATGCATCGAGATTCCATCCAGATAAGAGCAATACAATGAACTCACAAGCCAATGTCCAAGCCCTCAGGCCACGCCAACACCGTATCCAATGTCGCTCCTACTCTGTCTGGCGCCCAGCATCCAGCCTACACTACTCGCCTATCCTACTCCACCGGCGTTCATGCAACAGGCTCACTTTGACCTTGAAGACCAAGGTACACGACGTCAACACCATAGCTGACCTCCCCCATGCACCAGGTATGTATCTCGTCTCTCCCCTCATCACCCCTGACTTCCCACAGTGTGCATTCTCAACACCCAAAGATCACCATCGCCATCCAGACCTGCGGCCACTGCCCAGCAGTGCACCTCACACCCCGGCGCCCTTTCGCGCGACCCAGCCAGCAGCTTCGTGCAGATCACAAAGTTGCAACGCAGCAGCGTGGGCGCATTGCCTGCCTAGGCCAGAATGCCCTCCCCAGCGATGCTCACTTTCCTATATGGAAAGTGAGCTCAGCCTCTGCTGCCTCTGGTCCTGGCTGGGCGAGCGTGCAGTCGCTTCCGGGCCTCAGTGCCTGCGCCCAGGCCCAGTTGCAGTTACGGGCCTGGGCCCTTTACAGTTGGGCACGTCCAGGCAGTCCACAGGCCTCCACATGTTCGCTGTGATCTCATTGGCTCACGGCCACTATGTGCCGACAATGCTGCAATCTCATTGGTCCGTGGCTGTTGTATGATGTGTCGGCCTCTGAAAGCACACCCCCAGGGCCTTAACTGTACGGGGCCCTGGCTCAACTGCCCGCCGAGGCTGCAACTTCCGGAAAGAGCCTAGAGAGGCTCACATTGCTCTAATCAACTGGTATGCTGCAACTGTCTGATACCCACGTATGGAAAAATGTCAAATCTTGGCCGCTTGTGAATATTCGGGCTGGCCTTCACTTAGGGCGGGCACAGGGCTTGCTGAGGGCATCTGCCCAGAACATGTGCATGTTTGTTAAGGGCCCCACGAGGGCTCGTTCCGCGCACATATACGACCCCTTTAGGGTGATCACACTGGCATGTACTCAGGCCTTGGCACATATTGGCACGCCCACTTTCACTTAGGGCGGGCAAGGCCTTTCCCAGCACTGCTGAGGGGTCAAATCCTCGCACCTTTATGCAAGCAATGCAGCATACTTGAGAGGGGGTCACCCAACAACGAGACGGTTAGCAATATGATAGACAAGAGATGAATTATGTCATTTTGTTGATATTCACCATTATTATTGTTGGGAGGCCTCCCAGTTTATTTGTTCTTACACCAGCTGTGCCTCTCATGTACAAGGCTGGCCAAGTTAATGACGGTTAAGCGCCAGCTGCCCACATCCTCGTGTGCCCTAACGGCCCACTTGCACGTTTTGAAAGGAGGCATAGAGTAAAAGGGATGACTTGTTGTATTTTGTCTGTGCTCTTAGTGGTGCTCGTTTGTATGCGTTTATCAGTAATGCACAAGGAGAGGGAGTACACAAGGGGAGGGAGAGGAAATGAGGTTAAAAAAAGAGGGGGTAGAGAGAGAGAGAGAGAGAGAGAGAGAGAGAGAGAGAGAGAGAGAGAGAGAGAGAGAGAGAGAGAAAGAATGCACTGGAGCAGACCATTCTTAGAATGACATGAGAGGTCATTCAGGTTTTAGGCTGCTGGAGATTTTGTGTTAGGGAGCACCCATGGGCTATGGTAATGGGCCACCCCTACAGAGCGGACAACACCGGTTTGGGTGTGGACTGTGGAAGCATCGCATCCAAGTCTCGCGGCTGCAGTTGCTGCAGTGAATGGCTCGGTGGAGGCAGATGTCACAGGCCACGTGGCATCTCCCGCAAGGTAGCTCGGTGGGGAAATGCCCACCAAAGGGAGGTGATAGCTCCCACAAGGTAAAGGTAAGTTGTACCTCGTGTAGGCCCTATCCTGTCGTAGGGGCTCGCGAGAGGTATGGCTGGGACATTCGGCCGGAGCGGCTTGCGGAACCTCCATGTGTATCACGAGTAGACCAACTCATGCGTGGCGCGGCCGGGAGGGTCCCACAGGGACTGATGCCCTCGACACTGCGTGAGCCGCGGTTGTATTTCAGTTGCGATGACTAAGTGGTTGACTAGAGATAGAGAGTAAGGGTCCCACAGGGGCCGATGCGCTTGGCACTGCGTGAACCGCGGTTGTATTTCAGTTGCGTGGACTAAGTGGTTGACTACAGATAGAGAGTGTGTGAGCACATTGTTTCGATTCGTAATAGTAGCCCCTCCTTCCAAGTTCACAATGCTTCATCTTAAACTGGACTACCGGAACTCGGCCTGGAAACACTGCGCTCGTATAGAGCACGTCGCCAGTGCCTAGTAGGAATGCGCAATGCGAGATACGGCAGAATGCAATAGTCATGCGCTGCAGCAAAGCATAGGAGCAACAAGGCAGGGTATACTGCCGTATGCTAGCAGCAACGCTCAGCAGTACTCAACGAATCAGCAACAACGGTGCTCAGCAAGCAGCAGCAGTCTGGCCAAACTGAGATCGAATCGGTAAACAGTCAAACCTGTGTCCTGCGCCTGCCTTCCTCATGTGCGCAGCTGATGACATAAGTGGCTTCCCGACCCATCAACAGATATGAGATCCCTACAGCTAGCCTGCTGCAAACCTGAATGGAAAGCTGAGTACCTCACCAGCTAGCGGTGGTAGCGAGCGTCATGCTGAGATACTGTCATCACGACATACGACCCATCTGCAGTGGAGTGTCAAAGTGGCTGAACACGCAGCCCGAAGTACTCAATTGGTGCAGCAGTCTGTTCTGCCTTTGAAGCCAGTTCTAATGGCAAGTTATGGGCGCATCGTGCCCTCTCGACTGCGAGAGCACCGCTCTGTCGGCACAATGGCACCCCCCCGTAGGTAAGTTTTGTTCTCCCTCTCTTTCTCGTTGCTCGCCCCCCTTTTTCTTATACACTCGGCCGACCCTTTTGGCCAGGATCACTCAGTTCCCCAATCGGCAATGATGATCACTAACTGGCCGGACGGCCTTGGGCGGCAGGACTAGCGGCTACAACAACAAGATTCGGTAAAGCGGGCTGATTCAAGAATAGGATGAGGAGGATGGCTGGGCCGATTGGCTGTGAAATTCCCGCTCGCGCGATCAACTGCGAACTGCCTGCTCGCTCGACTAGCCGCGAACTGCCCATCAACTCTCTTTGTGTCTCTCTCTTTCTTTCTTTCTCTCTCTCTCTCTCTCTCTCTCTCTCTCTCTCTCTCTCTCTCTCTCTCTCTCTCTCT